GGGTGGGGGCTGGGAGGGGGTAGGGGGAAGAGTTACAAGGATTGGTGTTCTTTAAGTATTTAATAGAATGTATTAGTGTAACTCTCTGGCTCAGAAATTTTCTTTGTTGGGAACTTCTGATTACTGATTTCAATCTCTTCACTAGTTTTATGTCTGAATAGATTTTCTGTTTCTCTTGATGGTATTTTTTCAGTCTTGGGCAGGTTATTTTTGGGAATGTGTCCATTTCATCTATGTTACCCAATTTGATGTCACATATTCTCTTGTAATCATCTAGTCCTACAAAATGAATAGTAATGTCCACACTTTAATTTGTAATTTTAGTGTTCTTTTTTTTCTTAGTCAATTTAATGAGATTTCTCATTAGTTTTTCTTTTTGTTGTTTCTCTTACCAGCTTTGGTTTTATCTTTCTGAATTAACTGTGCTTGTTTATATGTGTTATAATCTTTATTCTTTCAAACTTCCTTCTCACTTTGAGTTTCTTTTATCTGACTTCTCTAGTCTTGTGAGGTGTAAAGTTAGATTATTAATTTGAAATTGTCTTCCTTTAATGTAAACATGTAGAGCTGTAAATTCCCTCCATCACATGATGGAGCCCTATAAGATTTTATGTATTGTTCTTAATTTCATTTATCTGCACCTATTTTGTAATAGCTGTTTTATCCATTGGCTAAAAGAAAGCATATTTTCCAGCTTTCCTTTTGTTACTGATTTCTAGTTTCTTTCCATTGTTATTACAAAAGATATTTAATATGATTTCAGATAATTTAAAACAGTAAGACTAGCTTTATGACCTAACATTTGGTCTATATGTTGTTGTTTTTTTTTAACAGAGATATCAGTATCTTCATAAAGTTTGAATTAATGTCTACCATCGTTTCCTTTAAACTTGCTAGAGAATATTCTGTTTACATCTTTTGTTATTGTCGGGTGGAGTATTCTTTATGTCTATATAATGTCTGGTTGGTTTGTACTGTTGAAGTTCTTTTTTGCCTTAATGATCTTTGCTTGTCGCAGCCATTATTGAAATAAGCTGTTGAAATCTCCACTTGCTGTTTTAGAACTGTTTCTCCTATCAGTCTGCCAAGGTTTTCGTCAGATTTTGGAGCTATGATTTTTGGTGTGTGTATGTCTGTATTTGTTACATCTATTTGGGTGAATTTTAGCTTGCCATTGAATAATGCCATTGTCTGCCGTACCATTGTTTAAGTTAATTTTGCCTGATGTACAAGGACATCTTTGAAAGAAAAACCTGGTGACTTATTTTTTTTTTTCATCATCTAAGATACTGTGGTGTAATCTTTTGTGATTGAAAAAAGTGGAAGTGGGGCCCCCACTGGTCACCAGACTTTACCGTAGGCCTTCTCCCAGAGGTCACATTGCTACCAGTTTGTTGGGTGTCCACTGAGACCTTCCTCTGTGCATTTCTATAGTTGCCCAGAGGAAAAAAGTAGCATTGCTCAGACATATCACTTAAGTATTTCATAGTGTCATTTTATTTTTTTCCTTACACACCTGATATTTTGGAATTTTTGATCAGTCATTGCAAATAGTGAGTTTATTCATTTTGATTGTTGCATAGTATGCCAGAGTACAGACTGTGTTCATGGATGAGTAGTTTTGTGTTAGATTTCCTGTTGTAACAAATGATCATGCTAGGAATGTACCTAAAATATATCTTCACAAATTAGTGTTAATCTCCCACCCCCAGCCCAAGGAGCAGTTACTAGGAAGCTGTGTTAACTGGGGCTCTGGCAGGTACACGCCTTTCTGGACAGCTGTGGCCACACTGTCCTCCATGTGACTGCTCCAGCTGCAGAGTTTCCAGAGGCCCCCAATACCCCATGCTCATCAGCACCAGGTGACCAGGATGTCTTCTGAGTCAGACTGATCATTGTTTTGATTGGTGTTTTAATTGTGAATGAGGTTAGGCCTGGTTTTCTTGTCATTTGCATACCTTCTATGACTCACTTGTTCTAGTCTGTTGGGCCATATTCTTCTTACAGATTCATAGAAGTTAAAGTTATATCCTGATTCTTCATTTGCTTTTATGTCACAACAGTGTTTCATTTATCTTGCAAGGTTGTTTATGATGTGATCTTTTAAGTTTATGATGTGTTAAGGGAGAGAGGAAAATGCATCAATTTTTCCTCTAGTCTCATGTCTGTCAGGATTTGTGTAAGAAAAGTCACTGTTGTAATAAGCATATTCACTCTTTCGGTCTATCTGTCTGATGTTCTAAGGTCTGAAATTGAGGTGTCAGTGGGAAATCTAAGAGGAATTGTCTAAATGGCAGGTGATTCTTTCAGGATGGATTAGAATTCAAGTCTTGAGATAAACATCAGGGGCTTCTCAAGGGGATAGTGGAAACCAGATAAAAATGTTCAGGTAAAGGTAAAGAAAAGTGGGCCAGGGACACAGCTCTTTGGAACAGCAGTACTAACAGAACTGGTTGAGCAAACTATAGGTACAGGTGAGTCAGGAGCAGTGGCAGAGAGAGCATGAAAACCAGCATGGAAATGCTGGCCGAAAGAAACCAGGAAGCCACGCTTTGTGGCGGGGTGGCGGATGGCGTAGTGCACAGGTCAGCCTGGACTGCAGCTCACTCCAGCCTTTGTCAAGGGCTGGATGGCGTTACAGAGTGGGCCCCAGTCTTGCCCACTTTCATGCCCACAGCTTCCTTGTCACTTTGACCTGGTCACGGTGCCTGCCATAGTGGCACTGGTCCAGCAGCCGGTGAGCCTGCAAGCCCAGTGAGAGATAAAGGCTGACAGATTTGACGACCGTTGAAGCCTCCTCCTTGAGTCACTTTGGTCCTGGCCTTCAGTGGCATCCATGAGGCTCGCCTGGAGGAGCGGTGCAGGCTGGACGTGTATCGCCTGCGAGAGCAGAGAGACGGGGGACGTGTCCATAACAGCCAGCCGCCCTGCCACACACCATAACTACCTGGAGGCTCCCATCAGCCATGGTTCTCCTGACATGAATTATTTTGTGGATTTTATGAATCACCTTTCCTGGAACTGTCAATCTGTAAATTGTCTGTAAAATCCTGTCTGTGGAGCAAAGAAATGGAATTATTCATAAGATAGCTTCTGGATCAGCTCATGGTGAGATTACTCAATCAGGGTATAATTAAGTCATAGACAGACTGGCCTCAATTTGGATAAAGGTGGGAAGGAAATAATTCTTGTTCCAATTTGGGTGCCTTTTGATGTTTAACATCTGGTGTGTTAATGCATGGATCAAGGAGAACTGGGGAGGCTCTGTGAAGGACAAGATGATTTTTTTTTCCCCAGAAGAAATTGAAAATATGTGATTGGGGAGGGAAGGAGTAAGTAGAATTGAAAATAAAAGTATAAGGTTGTAAACAGGACAGTGGTGTGATCTGCTGGGTAAGGACTAGGTAACGCAGCTGGAGCAGAGAGGGGCGAGAGCACCATGGAGAGAGTCAGGCTGGGTGGGCGCCGACACACCAGGGCCCTGTGTGCTGGGAGCAGTTGGCCTCAGGTCACAGTCAGGAAAGAAAATACAGTGGATACTTGCATGTTGCAGACAAATTAAAATTTATTGAGACAGACAGAAATGCACCTACTCGGTCGGGACTACAATTAAGTATTTACTGTTAACCAAAGAGTCGCGTTCACATTCCGGATAAGTCTACGTGGAAAAGCATTCAAAATTTACTAAGGTTTTCTACTTCACTATTTCATCTACGATAGGGACAATAAACTGACACGGAGGATTTGTGGGCGCTCATTACAATGCTACACATTGAACAGGGACAGACATCAGTGACTTTGAGAAAAAGGTATAAAAAGACCAAAACCACCCACTGTAGAAAGGGCTCTTGGATGTTACTGTACAGTGTGGTCAAGGTAGAAACAAGCACGGACGGCATCCCGGGAGGAGCAGGGGCAGGCCTGGACAGACACATCCTGTCACCGCCGGGCGGGAAGGGGCGTGAGAAGGGCAAACTGCTTAAAAAGAAAACCACCTCCCAAGTCCATACTAAGGCATTCCCATGCCTGGAGTATTAGTGGAAATAAAGGACATTGATGTGGCAGATGACTCACCATTGGGTTAAGCCTGATGCCAAAGAATAGGATGAGAACAGGAACCACTTATGGGATGGGGAGAGAACTGTTGACTAGTTTGCTGGGAGCCAGAAGAGCTTAGTGAAGACTCGGCTCAATTCCTGTCTAAACAAGGGACTGGATAATCGCAGCAGTGATTTTTGTAGTTAAATATTTTATGTGCATTTTGTCACTAGCTAAAGGACTCCTGCCAAAAAAGAGGAAAACCTAAATTCTGCTTAGAAGGACAGGGTGACTTAAAAGAATCCTTTCGTACTTGTAGAAGTACTAAAGGCCTTAACCATAAAGATGGAACGTCAGTATATCAAAGTGAGGCATGAAAAGTGATGTTAATGTTTCTCCATTGATTTTGGGTTCCAGTCTTAGGAGGACTTTTTATTTAACATTTTAATGAATCAAAATACCTTCTTGGAATATTGCTGAACTTGAGCATCTCATTATCTTACTGGGAATTGACTACTGAGCACTCTTCTCCAGCATTAAGTTAATGCGAAGGATCTTTAAGTGTCAACTGAATTTGACACTTGTCATAAGATAATTAGGCAAATTAAAATCAGTGGGTTCACTCGATTCCTTGAAGTTTCTCTAAGTGAGATCAATTTGTCGATTTTAATTTGTTCTCCTGTGCGTTTTTCCCAGCTCAGGAGATAGTAACAATGGTTTTCCTGGATGGTCTAAAGTGAGATTTTTTAATGTCTTGATTCCTTTATACAGTCTATTGTCATTTAGCGGCAATTAAGCACCAGTTTTCTGATTTAGGATTTCAGAATTTGGTTCAAGTGAGGGGAAAACAAAAAAAATGAAACAGAGTTGATGGGCGTTAAGATGCCAGTACCGAACTTACCTGTGTCTCTCCCCCCCCCCCTGGCTTTACTCCTGACTGGGGGCCAAAGGGTGCCCGTCACCACGTCACTCATCTTCTGAGAGTAACCCTGGGTGTAATGCCGTTTCTGGCCAGTGCTAGAGGCGGCTTGGTGAAGTCCCAAGGAAAGGGTGCTGTGGGTGGGGGTGGCCTCCGCCACTGAGGAAGGTTTTCCCAGGGGCCCTTTGCCTGAGTGGACGTGGTCTTCCTCGGACGGGCCGGCTCCTGGGGGAGGGAAGGAGTGTGGGCCAGGGCACTGTGCCAGTGGCAGAGCAGGCCGTGGCCGGCCCGCAGAGCCTAATGGTGGGCAGCGTGATGACTGCTCTTTGGTACTTGGATCTGGGCCTCCCCAACAGGGAGAGGACAGCTGCAGCCACGAGGACTCTGCCACATTTGCAGACACTCTGCTCTTAGCAGTGCACTCAGGGGACAGAGAGGCGATGGCCAGGGGCGTCTGCATTAGCATCTTGACACCAGTGTGGGTATGTGGGTGAGGGGCGGGGTAGGACTAGCTCTTAAAATCCCAGCCTCAGCTTCCCTGCACTGCTCTGAAGTTCTGTCTAGGCTTCCCTCCACCTCGGTCTTTGCATAAGGAGTGATGGAAATCCGGAAAGTCTGTGGACCCTCATCGGTGATGTGTAGAATAGAAAGGTGGCAAAAAGCAGAAAGTTGAGTTTAGAATCCTGAATTGTCCTCCAGTAAGGAACACCAGGGTGCTGTGCCCTGGGAGAGGAGGGGACATGTGTGCAGACCTTCGGGAGCACTCTGGGGTGGGGTGGGTGGGAGGCAGGAGCCGGGCAGACAGGACTGCTGCCCTGGGGCTGGGAGCGGGAGCTGCTGTGTGGGAAGGGGGTCAGAGGCTGAGGCCAGGCAAACCCGCTCCCAGGGTCTCTGCTGCGGAGAGATGTGGCCTCCTGGCCAGGGGCTGCCAGTGCCATTAGTGCAAACCAGGACTTCGCTAGAGACTGTGTATTGGAGAATCGGGGCCCCGGGTCGGGGCCTCTTTGTACAATGGGGCTGTAATAGGTTCCAGCGGTTTGTGGCAGGACCGTGGGTTGTGTCTGCGCAGCGCACAGCCGCCTCGGCACGTACATCACGCGCTTCCAGCGGCACGTCCAGACGCCGTTTTTTAATAAGCAATTCCCCAGAGGGACCTGGACTGAATTAAGGCTGTTGTTTGTAAGGAGACCAGATACAGTGAGGTGAAAAACTAATTTTTCAGGAGAAGCACACGGGGTGGGCGGGGGAGGTGCAGTGTGGCGTGTCTTCCACAACATCTACAGGACACGAGAGAAGCACAGACACCGCAGGGCCGGGGACCATGCTGTGACACCACCGCGCGGGGGTGGGGAGGGCCTTGGACTTTCAAGGATGGGGCTCCCCGCACGCTCAGAGTCCCACACACATCACATGCTGGTCGCGAAAACCCCGCGGGCGAGCGGGAAGGACTGCTCAGCAGCTGTCCCTGTCCAGACGACAAACGCTGCTCCCACGCGGGCGTGTGCGGGGCCCCTGCTCCTGGAATGTGGGCTCGCGGCGCGGGCAGGCGGGGCGGCGGTGGAGAAGAGGCCTGGGGCCGTGGCGTGGAGATACAGATGCGGGGGCAGGAAGAGGCTCGCGGTCTCGCCGACCTCGTGTCCTCTCGCCCGCGGGCACTACCAGATGTACCCGACCTCGTCCTCTTTGTCGTCGTCTTCGTCCTCGTCGTCCTCCCGCACAGCCCGGGCGCGCACCCTCAGCTTCCCCAGCGTGTCCTTGGCTCCCAGGTCCCGCTCGTCCTCGAGGTCATCCAGCAGGACCACGGAGCCGCCGCTGCCAAAGTCCCCGGACGTTTCCTGCTCCTCCTCTGGAAGCACAACAATCCGCGGTGAGTTTCGGGGTACCTCCCGGGGCCACGTCAGCGCTCCCCGGGCGGGCGCAGGACTTCACGGTCAGACAGAACCAGGGGTGCACTTGGTGAATGGGGTGGGTACACGGGGCGGGGAGCACTGCCAGCCCACAGGAGCGCGGCTGTCACCCAGCTGCCGCCTTCCGCCGCAAGGGTCTGGCCCCTGGACACCAAGCTCGTCAGCCCTGGCAGCTTGGGGGTGTGCACTCTCTACTGTGTGCCCCCTCACTGGCCAGCACAGCTGCTCATATGCAACCCAGAGGATCCAGGGCTCCGGGGTGACGGGGTTTGGGGGTCGGGCGTGGACGCAGAGGCCTTACCGCAGCTCACGGTGCCCTGTTTGCGGGAGCCGGCCAGCTCGTTGCCGTATTTATCCACGCACCAGCACTGGCCGGTGCCGCCGTGGCACTGCGTGGCTCTGTAGTAGCCCTCGTCATTGCAGCGGGGGATGAAGGCGCCTGGGGACAGAAAGCGGGCGTCAGACGAGCGCAGACACCGAGAGGTGCCCCCCACGCTGGGGGCCCTGCTCCAGGCCTGGGGGTATCTGCCCTACGGCGGCTGCGCCGTGCAAAGGCTGGTGCAGAGCACCCCTTGTTCCACGGGTGCAACTCCACAGCTTTTTCTTGGACTTTTACTGATGTGATTTAAGGTATGTAGCTTAGTAGTGATTTGACTTAAAGATACTATGAAATAATTACTGGTTAACATCAAGGAGCTCAGAGATAAAGTAAAGGGAAAAACATTGCACAGTGCTGACAACTCTCAGGCGCCACATCCTGGAAGTGTCTAGTGTTGCAACTAGGAACTGGGAGGTTCCTTTTTGACAGCCCCATTCAGAGCCCTCTGAGTGCACTGCTTTGCTTCTTTCCGAAGATGGAAGATACCGCCAGTTTGACTGGACTGATCCTTTCTCTAAGGTGTTTCCAGATGGCGCTGTGGTGGCTGGTCCCGGGACCGCCTCGGAGAAGCCCTGCCAGACCCCCGAGCGGACACTAGCAGGCAGCACAGAGAACAAAATACCCAAGCAGATCAGAGACAAGAACTTATTACGGCTATTTATCAAGTCACAATTCCCCAAATAGACACCAAGCGTGTTCCCCTGGGCACATGGATCAAGAAGAGAGCATTCTCGCTTGTGTACAAAATGTCTCAGGGACAGGAAAGGGAAAACACCTACACCATTTGATGAATTAGTTGCTTTTTAAGTAGATGCTGGTATCACTTAGTGTGTAGCATCATCTGGAAACACCCAAGAAACGGAAATGTCAGATGCGCTGAGTCCAGCAAACTGCTGCTAGTGAAGTGCAGGGATTGTGCTGCACCCTGAAGGCGGAGAGCTGCAGCCAGGTTCCCCCTCCAACGCCGCCCGCCGTGCACCTGTCTCCTCCTTTTGCGCAGTATTGCTAGTGTAGCACATTGTATTGGTTTTCAAAGCTTTTGTTACTCACCAGGCTATTTTGATTCAGTTTTGCTCAGTCTATCTCATCGTCAGTACTCCTCCATCTTTGACGAGTGAGTGCGTAAAGCTCCTGGATGTGTGGGTGTAGTGTTGAGATCTGAGTTTTATTTATTTTGTGGCATAAAAGTCTGTGATAGATTATGTGAATCATAGTAAAAATGTTTGTCTACTTGAATTAAGGTTCGAGAAGGGTGCTGTGGAAATGACCACGCATGCTCACAGCTGTGTTGCTTGAAAATGATGACTTTCGGCTTAAGGTCAAGTATTTGCTTCTGTTTTTACTGTCTTTTAATTTTCTTACGTGTGACTTTTTTAAAATACCAGTTGACAGTCTGTCTCATAAAGAGTTTGGTCCATTCACATTTATTGTGATTACAGACACTATCATTTTTGTTTCCCACCACCTGTTGAAAAGATTTTTCCATGTGTAAGTTTAAAAAGTATGTGTCTAATATGCTTATTTCCCAGAAAAGCACACTGTTCCCTAAAGAAATCTAGCTGGTCAAAACTGGCAACTTGACTATCTTTACCTCGCGGCCCCCAACAATTTAAAAATGTTGCACATCATGCTTCAACTCAGCAGCATGTACTGTTTGTTCCCCAAAACTGCATGTCAGTAATTCCCTGTGGCTTCATGTGTCTCCTTGTTGAGCAGTGTTTCTGTTGCTTATTAATTCCTCTCTAGGTTTTCTGATCCTGGTGAACCTACTGAATCCGTGGATTGAGAATATTTCTGTCCTCACACGGTTACCACGGTAAGTTGGGGACTCTAGGTTGGGAGTTCGCTCCTCTAGCGGCTACTGTTCTCCCTTCCTAATCTGTCTTGCCAGGAAGTGTGACGGCAGTCTGGTCTCACGCAGCTGCCGCCGGCTAGCTTTATGCTACATGTGCGTGCATGCCCACCTCAGGTGCACCGGCGGCGTGAGAGCTGGGTAGAGCAAGTGCTTATCCTGTACCACGGGGATTCTCGACCTTACTCCTGATATTTCAGTTAGGGTGTGTTTAAGTGTAGACCTTACTGCATGGCATGTCTTCAGGGCGGGAGGGTAGTGAGGTGGCACACTAGGCAGGAGCTCAAAGGCTGCTCCCCTAGTCAGCAAAGAGCAGGGGGAGGGAAAGTGATTTTCATCTCCCCAAGGTGTGATACTTGTAAAGGGTCTCAAACAAGCCCTACAAAAAAGAGATACTGCTCTTCTTTGAGTGCCAGTGGACACTCGTATCTAACAGGACCCCAAAATACATATTGGTCTTACTAAACCTCCAGAATGGTTAAGAAGCAGGTGTTTCTGTAAATCTGTAATGTAAAAGTATTTCCAATGTTTTCAAGTAGGCAGTAATTAGAACTGATAATTTGCTGAATCTCAGTGCTCCTGAATACACACTTATTAAGAGATTCCCTGTAACAAGAGCAATTTATGGCAAATAAATGGCATTTTTATGATTCCAGCAGAATCCTCTCTGTATGAAGAGATGGACATAAGCCTTAAACTAGGCAAGATTCATGGTATGAGACAGGTAGGTATAAGTGGAAGAGGAGACCTTGTGTCTTAAACACCACAGCTGATGGTCTCACTCATGAAGCTAACTACACACAATGAAAATGTTGGCAAATCTAGCATGCCCCACTCCTCCCTGGACACTGCTCCCCTACCCATAATCTGGGAGGATCGTTTGCCCTGGAAGCAGTGGGGCTCAGACAGGTCATAACCCCGACTCTGCTGTTCTGAGTTAAACAAGGTGTTATTAATAGTGGAAGTCTGAGGTGAGCCAACAAAGGCAGTAAGATTTGAAAGTGATCACAAAAATTACCAGAAATTACAAACCACTTATATTTGACAAAAACTTTTATGTAAAGTGAAACTTCTGAGGGGATGGACCTGCTTCTAGGTGCTCAACCAGAATACTTGGGAATTATGATGTTGGAGCTGTCAGTTTTCTTTTTTTTACAGCAAGGCAGCCTCCCTTGACAAATTCCTGGCAGAGCGCTGCAGGAAGGCAGGCAGAGTGGGTACCTCCACTTGGGCACGACCCGACCGTCAGAGCAAATGCAGAACTGGCTGTTTCCTTGTGCTGTGGCAATCGAACAAAGCGTCTAAACACATACTTTCTTCTCCCTGGTAAGTTTAGAAGGCACTCTAGCTCATATTCCCTCTCAAATGAAAAACTCCATCTGGGGAGTATAGGAAAGTTACAGAACTAAGATTTCCTACACTTGGGAGGTCTGTCTTAAACGAGTTTCATGGGCACCCAAGGTCAGGACAGAGTTGCCATGGGGCAAGTCCTGGGCTCACGTGGAGCTGAGGGAGCATGCAGGCATCGTTTTCAGTGTCCGCCTGCCCATTCTGTCTGCTGTGAGGAAGAGCTCTGTGGGGGCACTTCTTTAACAAAATACTGGTGCCAACTTGAATAACTGGCACCGTGCTTAGTTATTGCAGAAGATGGGACCAGTGTAATTACTTGTTTAAACGAGTGGCAAGAAATTGCACTTACCCAACAGACTTTTCCCCTTGCTCAGCTTCTGAATCCTGTTCATTTCATTCTGGCAAGGGAGACCTAAAACAGTTACAGAAGTCAGTTTCCAGATGGTGAGGGGTAAATCTCTTAGTGACTGGCTTCACTCTTGATGTGAACTACAGACAGTGACACGCACCCTGTGCTGTCCAACACAGCAAGGCAGTCGAGTGACTAATTTAAAGCAAATACCATGAGGTGTTTCTCAAAGCTGCGCAGCACTGTGTGTCCCGTTGGAGAAATGCAGTCCAGACCTCTGACAGGCCAAAATGCTGTGAAGCACAAGCGAGGTGAGTGAGCCCATGGGGAGGTCTCCTGCGGCAAGGGACTGGTGCCACAGCCTTTTCAAGTCTGGTCATAGCCATGCTTGTTGTTTATTTTACTTGTTTGGAATTAGGGGCAATATTTTTGTTCCCTCTTTGCTGGACCACCAAAGAGAAGGCAGGAGCATTCGAGAGGTAGGCCCGGGTACTGCTTAGTTAGCTCCTGACTGAATTTCAACCTGAGGAGGTTTTATTTCTCAGCACTGACCAGCCTGGCCTTCATTTACAAGGCAAGTAAACTTCAGAGGGCAGTTTTAGACAAGGTAATTACTAGAACCTTTGGAGGAAGCAGAAATGTTAATGAATTTCTCTTGTTTGGGATAGTGGTGAACTCCTTGGTTCTAGGTGGTGGCTTAGTGAGCCACCGTCCCATGCCTTGGACTGGAAGACCAGGCTCTTCACTGCTAGGAGGTGGAACCTCCTAAGGGTGAAATTTAGTCAGGATCTAAGTAAGGTACCCGGGCCGACCTTTCAGCTGCTCCCACCTTCCGTGCTTGTACCCCACACTGTTGGCTGTCATGGGGTGTTCCAATGTGGGTAGGTCCTAAAGCTCTTATGACACACATTGAATGTCAACTGTTTGTTTATTCATTTCTAGATGAAAATATTTCTCATAATCCTGAAGATTACATGTGTGCCACATTGTCAGTGTGGGGAAGCTGCTACTAGTTTATGACTTGGTCTAACATTTTGGGTGACAGAGCTCATTTACTCAAAACTAAAATCACCTACGTGTAAGTTTCAATGACAAATGTATTCCCTAGTTGTTTATGTTCACCAGTGTTTTTGCAACAAGGATTTCATTTAATCCCAGCAAGTTTCCATGACAAAGTACCAGTTATCCTGATTCTATGCACACTTGAGCTCCTTATCTCAACAGGCAGAAGACTCTGGGAAACCTGCATGGGACTAGAACGTGCAGTGTTGACCTGGTAAGTGCCTTACCTTAAATAGTGCTAATAAAAGTATTTATATACACATGGAAACACAAGCTGCTACGGCATCTCCCAATTTCCCAAGAGGTCAGTGGCTCCACCTCCTAAGCTGTGTTCTTGGGGGACTTATTGTAAATCAGATTCCATCCCCCCAGGAACAGCAGCCCTTTCTGAGCCAGATGCATCACCTCAGGACTCCATAGGACATGAGCTGTCACTCTTGCTGGGTGGCCTAGAGAGAATCATCTCCATGGACTTTGTCAACTTCTCTGGGAATGAGACACTATCCCAAGTCTAGTTTGGCCCTCGTGAGGGGACTGAAGTCTCTTGTTCCCAGAGAAGTTGACATCCTCCTTGATGCTACAGAATGTAAGACCCAGAGTTCACTCATTTGCTTTGGCATTCCAAGATGCCAAACAATAGGAGGTGAGTGGGCTCTAGGGGAGCGAAAGACCAAGTTCCAAAGCAGCCTTGTCCTTAAGATCAGAACCGTGCATCAGCCCCAGCAGCCACCCTCCCCGAAGCCCGTGGGATTACACTACTGTGGACATGAAGGGGACATGCCTCAGTATCCAGAAGAACGCAGTGTCAGACCAAGGTCTGGGCGTTGAACATAATAGTATTCCTCTTTAGAAATCCAGGTCAAGAAAAAATATTCAGAAGGCCTACTATTCTGTATAAGAGGAAAACTACTTTGCTTAAATTGATTGTAGCTTTGTTCTTATTGTATCATGTCTTGGGAGGACAGGGTAGAAATAATGGGAGTTTGGAGGAAGAACTAGGGGCCAAGTTGAAATGGTAGGAAGGAGATACTCATATGAAGGAGTGGAAGGTGGGGCCTTCTTTCTATAAATAAAATTCATTTTCAAAATACAATTGTCAAGTTATTTAGAGCAGCCTACCTCCTAAATATATGGGAAACTAAATTCCCCAATGTGTTCTGTCTGTAGCAAGTGCTTAAGAGAAGGCACCTACCTTCAGCACTCCGAAGCCTCGGGCCATCTCACCTGCCCCCTTCCTGGTGGCATCTCCCTGGACACAGGCCGCCCCTACTTGCAGAATCACTTACCCTGACTGCTGGCAACTCCCCCAACTCGACTATATACGACATATATACTATATGTCTGACTATATACCTGATGACAAAATGGTTATATACGATGGGCAATCAGTGCCAATTACAGGTAGAAAGGTGTGGTGTGAGTGAGGACGGGCTCCTGTGGCCAGACCCACCGCGGAGGGACGCTGGAGGAGGAGCGCACATATATGCACACCACCAACCAGGCCGCTAGGAAAAACAATAGCCAACTCCCCAAAGGGAGCCCTGGGAAGCCTAGGGTTGAGTTTTTCCCTTTTGGGAGGACTCAAAACTCCCTGCTCCCCGCAAGGGTGCGGTAGCTGCCCGCCTCACCTCCAGGCTTCTGGAAGCAGTAGCACCACTCGTTGTTGGAGAGCTTGCCGTCCTTGAAGGAGTCGCAGGAGTTGAAGAGCGCCTTGATGCACGGCTCGTACTTGTCCAGGTAGATGGCGTTGATCTCGGAGTGGTCCAGCAGGAGGTCGTAGTTCATGTCCAGCTTGTTGAACATCCAGCCCAGGGAATCCTTGCAGATGGGCAGGATGCTGGTGTCGAATCCTGCAGAGGGAAAGCCCGGCTCAGCACCCACCCACCGCCCCTACAAGACCTTGCTGTTGGCTTTTTTTAAACAAAACAATTTAAAATGCACCAAACCCTAAGTCAGCTTTTGAGGAAACTGTTCTAAAGGGAACACATTCCCACACTAATCTGTGAGTAACAATGGGACCACACTTGCGAGGTGGTGTCCAAGGCAAGGAGTAAGAGCAGCCAGACACCTTGGTGGAAACTGCTGTTGGGGTGGGGGAAGCTCCTTTGCAAAAACCAGGGCAAAAGAAACCTCGTTAGAGGGCACTGGTGCCTGCTGGCTCCTCCCCTTCAGACGCACGATATGGACGCAATCATTTCTCCTATTTCCCTGGGGGAGGGAAGGTAGTTTTCTAAAAGAATGATCTGTTTCCACAGTAGACACGTGCGCCCCAAATAAAAACCCCGCCTTTCTTTCAGAATCCACAGCGTAATACAAGTTCAAGCCATTGCCAAACCAGACTTCTGGGACGGCTTTTCCTGTCTGTTCCCAGGGCGCTCAGTAGGGGAATGCAAGCGGGACC